CGTAAAAGTTCGCGAGAAACACGATGGTGCCACTGATTTTCTCTGAAATCGACTCCCAAGCTCAAAAAAAAGCTCTCAAGTTGAGTCCAAAATGGAGGGGATATCCCACGCTATCCTGCGAGTCCCCGTCTACATTAAGATAAACTCTTAATGCAAAGATTAGGGAGCAAATACATTAGCAGGGTTGCCGTGTTTTCAGTTTTGGAGTCCCCAAATAAAGTGACAGCTCTGTCAATGTATTTGCTCCCCATCTTTGCATGGAGAGTTTGTCTTGATGTAGACGTAGACTCTCAGGATAGCGTGGGATATCCCCTCCATTTCGGCCTCAACTTGAGAGTTTTTTTTGAGCTTGGGAGTTGATTTCGGAGAAAACCAGTGGCACCATCGTGTTTCTCGCGAACATTTACATAAGAATTAATGGTCAAATCGCAAATTCCTCACACATACAACATCTCCATTGTCAGTATTATTAGTCTAAAATTTCATGACCGACCTCTCTCATAGACTTGGTCCACTGTGCGTCGTTTCTTTCGCGTGAAGACGTATCTAAGTTTCCACATGAACCCCAGAGAGCGAGGATGTATACGAAGGACAGAGTCCACGTGAAAATTGAGCTACGACCTAACGTCATAGGAACGAGGATATGTTGCTTTATAAGGAGGAGCTACGACGTGACGTCTCGCCCTCTTTTCCGATTGTTTCACTTCTTTTGAGCTATGACTTGTGACTCAACATTTTAATTCAGTTCTTAGATTTATTTTAATTGAATTGAATTGAATTTTATTACACTGAAAAAAAAAAAAGATTGGTAGAATTTACCATTCCTTCATGCAGTATTTTATGCAGCCTGAACTCAAAGTCAATTCTGCCAGAGGATAGTTACCTGTACCAGTATATAGTAACGTTTACCTTTTTTTTGGTAGAATTGACTCTAAATTGATGCTATGTGAAATACAGCGTGAAGGAATGGTAAACTCTACCAATCTTTTTTTCAGTGTAACTTAAGTGTTTTCTATACTCTCCTCGATTTCAGCTCAAAAAAACACAAGAAGGGAATTTCTCACATCAGGCATGAACTAGCATTTGCAACTCCGTGCAATAAAATAGGTATATAGGTTCCATTGACTAACATTTCAATAATATAAAAAAAGGGGTTGTTAAATTAGGATTAAACTGAATTTTCAGATTTGAGTTTTTAATTTTGATTTCCACTAATAATAAGTGAGGTAGAGTTATTCATTGTGCGTATTAGGGTGGGCATGAAAATTTGTTTGGAAATTAATTCGAGCAGAATCATAAAAACGGGAGGCTGAAACTTCTTCAGGGCTTGAAAAGCGTCATAAAGGTGGAAAATTGCATTACAACTCCCAATAAAGTAAGAGGTAGTAACGCACAACCATATTGAGAAAAAAAGCTCGAAAGAAGTTGTGTGATCGTTTCATTTCATTAGATCCACCTCCAATATTATCAGCGAGAGATCGCGGTACACCTGCTCCCACAAAACGAGTCTCCTGTAAGGCAACTCAGAAAGTCCCATGTGTGTGAGAAAAATGTTCGCGATCCATCAGTCTGATTATCCAGTGTTCGATCCCCAGGCTATATTAAGGATGATTCAAGATCGACTGCAGAGACTTCAAGAGTCGATTTCTTTGATCATCCTAGGACCTTCACTTGATATAACTATTTTTCTATAACCTCGTAACGTCCGAGCCTTAGTTTGAGAAAACAATTTTTTTTAACATGTTTCTTTTTTTCATTTTGACAGCGCTTAAGGATCCAATCACAAAAATTCCGGTGCTTAACGGTAAGTTTAAAGGCCTTGCACATCGAAAATCGAATTAAAAAAATATAGTTTAGAAAATTCCTATGCATCGGGGAATTTTTTAAAGGTAATTTTCACATGTTACCAGCATAAAGTTAGAAGACGGTGATGGAATTGGAGGATGTGAGGATCGTTAGGTATCTCGGTGTTTGGTATCGGCTCAGGATGGAAGGATGGATCAGGCAATAATCAAACATAGAATCATCCAGTGGGCTTATTATTAAAATCTACAGACAAAGCGATAGACATAAAAGACAAAGGGGAAAAGAATTATGCCTATCGATTGAAACTGGTGGTAGTTACAGACAAAGGGGGAAAATGGATGAGCTATGGATCTCCTCTTGAGTTGCCATTTACCAATTACTTCCTTTGTGCATTGCATCCGCCAGCTCCGACTACATATAAGATACCACCATTTTATCTACGTATGTCATGTTTTTCTATCGCATTGTCTATCAACTTCAATGATCAGCCCTCAGCAATAAGGCGACGGGAACATTCCATGAAGGAATAGCGGCGGTAGGGCGTCGACGAATATGTACATTCTAAGGTGTCAGTTACATTGCGATCCGTGGAAAGACGGGCACAATCATATTCGGGTGTCGCAAAGCGATGTAATATGTATGTGTGTAATTTCTAAAGGTTCAATACTCCTTGAACCTTTTCTTCTCGGAAGAAGACGAGATTGCCTCTTTTCGGAGTAAAAAAATAAATTGAACGCCAAAAATATCACCAGAGGCTGATTTCTCTCCCAATTAATGCACACTTTGCCATAATTAAAAAAGGTTAGTTTTCTAAAATTGTAGGGCTTCTTTGAAAAACAATGGTGTGATCCTAGGATGGTTTATTTTGATCCGAAGGATTGACTCCTAATATTTTCGAACTAAATTCTAAATCATTCAATCATTATGATCTTAAATTTTTTTTGAAAAAAAAAAAATGCAAATAGTTACCCAACCTTGCAAGATTAAACGGAAAAAATGAAAAATAGGTGTAGTATTTGTCGGGAAAAAGGGTAAATTAGGCAACGTCCAGGCTTGCGAGGGATCAAATTCAAAGCTCAATTTCATTTTGATGGATGAGGCTCCGGAGTGATGAGCAAACTCCAACCCACGGTTTGGCGAAGGGATGGGACATTGCGTTTTCAATCAAACGGCAGTTTAAGCATGTAAATAGGCTCCGATCAGGGGGTGAAGATTTCAATTAATTGCGGTTCATGAGTGCTCCCCTCCCTCATATTTGAAAAATTTCCCAACCCCAATTCAAACGCAAGTCCTTGGTGCCCATATTTGATGGTAAATTGAGCGAAACACCTCGATTTCGGTGTTTCCAAGCGTCTTCCTTCTTTTTTCGAAAAAAAGCCCCACCTAAATAATTTCTTCTGCTGGGAGAATCTTGAGTATTATTTCTGTTATTTATTTTTTATTCATTGTTTTAGAATCTTTTCTTCTTTTACGCTTTGTAAGATTTAAGCTTGGTGTAAGCAGGCATCTAGAATGAAAAATCAATAACTCAGTTCTTAACCATAGTTTTAAAGAGCTATGTTTAACTTTTTTTTCTAATGTGGCAGAAAGTGCAGTAAATTTAAGATTTATAAAAAAGGTTTGATAAACAGATTTATTAAAAAAATATTTTTTAAAGAATATAATATTAGGGTGAACAAAAATCATAAACTTTATCGATGGTTCAGGGATAATGGGTTCTTTGTCATAAAAAAGTCAAATATCGATAGTGAAACTGTCAATTATTGGCGTGGCGTGCTTTGCGATATATCGATTGATCTGCCGCTCAAACCTATGGAATAGGATCGATTAACAGGGTATTCGCAACGAACACCTGAATAATCGATTCTTTAGCATAGCTTCAAAAGGGGAAATATCGATAATCGATCATTCACGCCTCGTCACTGCTGTGAAATCACGTACTTCGGTTCGCGGCGTTGCAGACTTTTCGTCTCGTCCGACACTTTCTTCACAAGATAATGGATCAGCATTGTTGCACAAAATTTATTTCGATTTTTCTTCTACCTTTCGAAAATATTCTTTTAAAATCTAGCAAGAAAATGGTTAGAAATATTTATATTTTTATTATTTTTATTATTTTATATTATATTTTCTCGAAAAAAGAGTGATCGTGGAAATTTTGAAAATGTCTCAATCATAGCAGTATTTTATTAATACATCTTAAGTTTCTGTTAAATGCCAACAATTTTTAATCCTTCTTCATTTAGAAAAATTTATCTATAGGAATTTATTGCACATTTAGCCCATAAACAGAGAGATGATCGCTCCGTTGGAGCTTTCTGAAACCCAGGTAAAGTTTTGATATTTTATATTTATACATATGGAAAGAAGGGGTTGTTTTCACTTAACACTTTCTGGATAAGAAAGTGATAGGACAATCATACCTACGCCATGCCGACAAAAAATGGGGAAAATGTTGAGCGGACACTCAGAATGTGATTAAAATTAAAGTCCCTGAAAAAGTCAAATGAACTTATCTCAAAATAATATTTTTCTAAAATAATTATATGCGTATCATCAAAATAAATTTTGCAAAGTTTTAACACTTATAGGTTTTTCGCTAAATAGTTCTCCTGCAGCCTGCACTATGATATATTATTTTGCCTCTGGCATCACATTGGTAATGCGGCATCATATTACCCTTGGCAACATTTGAGGGAATATTGTTTTCTTTCAGAAGGATTGAGCTAATCAGAAATGGACCATCCAAAATTTTAGATATGCCTGAGCTGATGATGATATTTACCTCGGATGGGAAGTGTAATTTTTCGGTCAAAAATCTAAAATTAAGAAAAATATTGAGTTTTAACAAAGGGGCTTGAAATGTATTTCACAGATTTACATCACTGTTAATTTACTTCTGTACATCCAACGCTACGAGATGTTATTTGATTAAGCAAAGTAACCTCTATCAGCCGAGAAAGAGCATCTGCATTGAATCCTCCATACCATTATGCACCAATATTTTAGGTACTACATATTTGCACCGAATAGCAAAAAGTTCATTCAGGTATGATATGTATTAAAAAATAAAGCCCCATATTACGTCAGACAAGATATTCCATAAGCATAGGTAAGTGATTGTCATGGTATAAATGAATGAATGGAACCATATTTCAATATTCATAAAATTATCATTTAATTTCGATACTTACGTCAAAATAGGTGAGAGTAAATAATGACCACTTCTCTTTAAATCCCACTCTTTTGACCAGGACGGATGTAAGCACTAAATTGAATTTCGAAGGGAGGAATCGCTTAATCCAATCAGCGTGTCGTCTAAAAACTTAAATTTTGAAAAAAACATAACTAACAATACGAAGGAGATTCTACGCGACGAGAGCACGGACCACGCGTACACATCCCGAAACTCGGAGAGAGCCGAATTAGTGCAGGGAACCAGAGGGGAATGGAAATCGCGAACTGATAAGAAACAACGTTGTGAATAAGGGATCGTTAGAGGGGTCCAGCATGACCGGAGCGGACAGGACCAGCCGACGCACAAACGAGGACTGCCCCAGAAGGGGCGTTCCGCAGGGATGTTATTTTCGTAGTTCCTCTTTCATCCGCCGCCGCGTTGGGAAACTGGAGGCTCAACCGACGCTGCCGATATCCGGGGTGAAACTACCCCTTATTTTTCCGTCTCCCGAGACATATCGACGGTGAAACTACCAAACCACGTATCTCGGTTTGCGGTGTTTAAAAATCCACGCTCGCGTTTTATTTTTTTGAAGTAGACCAAATCAATACCATTCCTTGAAATTTTCACAGAATTTTCTCCGCGCGAAGAGGAAAAATCACAGAAATTTTCAAGACTGGATGTTGAGTAGTTTTTCATTTAAAAAATAAAGTATGACAGGAAGTCTGCGACGTCACAAACCGAGATACGTGGTTTGGTAGTTTCACCGTCGATATTCTACGTCGTTACGCTTGTTCGGCTCAACTTGATCTCGAAGTTTGCTATGGTAGAATCAACTTTTCACATTGACAGCATTTCTCATTTTTACACTTGAGACGTAATTTTGAGAAAGAAAGTTGGGAAATTGCCCCTGTTTATATTAAAATTTACATTTTTTTGCTTAATTTTTAGCTTAATTTTTTGGAAAGTGTGCTCTCCGTCAAAATAATCTTGCCTCTTCCGTAAAACTTTGCCCTTCCTCCCTTCCTCTGTCTTTCAAGCTTTGGATGAAATTTCATTCCTACTTTGCGCTTAATGATATGTGGGGAAAGTTATCATTAGCAATTTCCCAGTGTTTTAAGACAATTTAGATCGGTTTGTAAGGCAAATTTCTAAACTCGTTATTTTTTAGTCGCATCTTCAGTTGATTATGTGTTGATGACTTTTAAAATGTTTTCCTTGCTTATGAGAGGAGCAATAATGATTTAATTTTAGATATTCTGCAGTTACCTTAAAAAATCAACCAGTTTTTCTCCAGAGAATCTGTAAGTATTTTTCAAAACTTTAATTCCTCTGAGCAATCTTTTCTTGAAAGCAAGGCCTTGTCGACGTGAGGGAGAAGAAGGGTCGTGATTGATATATTTCGACGGCGAAACTACCAGACCACGTATCTCGGTTTGGGACGTCTCAGATCTCCTGTCAAACTTAATTTTTAGATGGGAAACCACCAACATCGATTTTTGAAAACTTCCGTGGCTTTTCTTCTCAATGCAAAGAAAATGTTGTAAAAACTTTAGGGAACGATATTGATTTGTTCTCCTTCAGAAAAACACAATTGGAGCGAAAACTTTTGAACAAAGCAAACGAGATATGTGGTCCGGCAATTTCTGTAAATGTGTTCCGTAGCTTTACCTGAAAAATTTTGGTAATTCTGTGCAAACGCGGCAACGCCAAAGTTCAACCGCCACAGCTCAGCTGTTCCTTTGGAAGTTGAATGTATCGTGAGGTCGCTTTATCATTCCGCTCCGAAAAAAATATCCTCGGATTTATTGACTCCTTGAGCAGCTTTTAGAGGGTATTAAGGTGATCGTGCAAATGCCCTCTTTCACGTCGAAAAGTATTCACGTCAATAAGTATTCACGTCTGAGACCTAAAGTGACACTTGCCGCATAAGTACACTCAAGCTCAAAGTTTTGATTCGCATAGAGAAAAAAGTAATGAAAAAGTACTTTCACTCCTTCATGGGTAGGATTCTTGCGGAATTGTGTTGGTATCGCAATTAAATCGGATTCTGTAAGACAGCCGGTGTGGGTAAGTCTAAAACATCATGAGCCCTGCCTTTCATTGATTATGCAGGACACAAGGGTTCATTATAGTTTTTGAACTTACACCCGTCCACCAGAAACAGACGCAATTATTAGTTTCGATCGTCAGTGCTTTTGTTATCAGTTATGACCATCTTATTGCGCTAAATCTATGTAATTTCTCTTTGCTCTTTTATCAATAGAAGCAGTGAATATTTTCTAAAATTTTCATACGGACGGAAAAACAGTAAAACTTTTGTACGAAAGTAATGTAGGAGCGGAGCTAAGAAACGCCCAACTCAATACATACTTTTCGCCGTTAATTTATCACGATGAACAAATAGAATTTCCTAGTTCAAATAATGTTAGTGAGGAAAAACTACCTATGCGTTCTTAATGTTTGAGATCTCGCATTATTTTTCTTTTTACCGCCTTAAAATTATCCCGAATCCGTCCAATTTTGATCGAAGAAAAATGTTGCACGATGCCCAATAGCCATCTAACGGTCTACTTTGATTTTGATTCGATTGGATTTCGATGGAATTTTACTCGTGTATGGAGCCCTGCTCACAGCCCCGCACTGCAAATAATACAAAAGAAACAAACATAATATGGAAATAGAGCAAGGGAAAGGACGCTTGCTGATAACGGCGCAGAGATACAACTATTCGTACTTGATGGATGTCCGTGTTGCAGCTGCAAAATTGAAGGCGCGGCAGCGCGAGGCGTGAACTTGCAATGCTCCGCTCCATAGAACTAGTGAGGTATCGCGCCTGTCCAGAGGAAAAGTTTAAAAAAGAGGCCAGATTAAGTCTCTCCTTTCTTTGGAACAAGGTGGAGAAATGGTGCTGGGTCCACACCATTTCGCGGGAAAAAAAAGCCAAGAAATTCCAAAAATTTAAATTAGAGTCAAAATTAAATTGAACTAAATTAATTTGAACTCTCATGCGTACCAGTACCTAGTTGTGTTGACTTTCTTTAGACTTTAGATATGTTTCTCACGTTCTCGAAGAGCCACTACAAATAATACAAACTGAACCAACGCAACGTGAAAATAGAGCAATGGAAAAGACGTGCGCTGATGACGGCGCAGAGATACAACTATTCGTACTTAATGGATGTCCGTGTTGCAGCTGCAAAATTGAAGGCGCTATGGCGCGAGGCGTCAACTCGCAATGCGCTGCTCTATGCTGCCAATGAGGCGTCGCTCAGATTCGGGAGAAAAGTCTCTTTTATTTTCTGCTTTTCTTAGTTGTGTTGACTTTCAATTTTATGTTTGTTTTCAATTTGATGTTTCATTTTTTTTTTACGATGTAGTGTGTAGAACTATACCTAAACCTCGAAATGCACCGGCGCTATACAACCAGCGGGCACGTGTTTTTAGCAACCTTCGAGTCAATTTAACCCGGTCTGGGCATCTAGGCTATACAAAACAAATCAAATAGTTTTCCTTGTAATTTTACGCACATACGTATCCTTCACTCACTTGAACACATATTCACAGAAAATCTCAAGGAAGTATTTTAGTACAAAGAGGAACCATAATTGGAGATTTTGAAATGTTGCGATTAAGATATAAGTATTGCTCAACTTTCGGAATCGAAATCATCAGTAATTTGCCAAGTCTTGAAAATGAAAGGTTTCAACGGTGAAATAACGGGAAAAGGGTTTTGAAACACGATGGAAAGAGGGAAAACTCGACCATCTTGGCTCTGAACATCTCAATTATATTCTCTGTCGCCCTTATCAAAGATTGAATCCGGCTAGAAAATGAATTGAGCCGAGGGAGAAAGATAGTTCGGATTGCGACTCGATCCCGTCGTATTAAAAGTCTGAGGCACACAAGAAATGCCACAGCTGATTTATAGCTCTTGAAACTTTAGTCCTGCTGCCCTAAGGAAAAACCCCGTATGAACATTCGAATGTTGCCAAGTCTCACCCGATAAAATGTGCATCTTTTGGGATAAGTGTGAGTATTTTCCCCTGACATTTTCACATACTTATGATCAAATTGTGAATAAAATTCTCTGTAAAATTATAAGAATAATATCCAAAACTTTCCCGAAAAGTATTTTTTTAAAATAGGACATTAGGCAACGTCTGAAAACTCATACGGGGTCCTTCCCTAACACGATGGAGTCGCTTCAGAGCTGGAAATGACACCCACCAGTACCACGACAGTCCAATCTAGTCGGCTCGATTTCAATTGAACTGCTCCGAACTAAAACCTAACGATACCACATCAAGATGAGACTCGACTAACGAGATCTCTTACGGACCTCAAGAGTCATCTATACGGATACATATCATACTTCACCAGCGATTGATTCAATTGTGTAGCCTCCTACTAATAAGGGCCAAATTTTACGATCAGCGTTGCCAATTTTGCTAGGGATATTCGAGCTTTGACATGAAACTTCCGATATGTGAAGAGTGGAAATTCAAAGCCTGGTAAGTGCCATCAGGTGTTGTTAGATTGTGCAACTTTCGTTCTTGTTCACCGAGAATCCGAGGACCTAAAAGATAAATTTTTTTGCATCGAAAATAAGCCCCAAAATTTGGAGAAAATTACTCAATAAACAGTTCATGGAGCGAATGTGTTTAGGTCCTTTCATAGGGAGATCATCATGCACAATCCTAGCAACACGTGATAGCACTTACCATGTTTTGAATTTTCACTCTTCAAATTTGGGTTAATTTTGCCAACACTGTTTATGGTCGCCGTAGAGGAACATTAGGTTCAGTTTTGATTGGATACATTTGTCCCACCGCCAATTCATTTCAACAAACGTTTTATTTATTTTCAGCCTGGGATTTCAACAGCCTGCTTTGGTCAAACGTCATTGAAACGTTTATTTCAGAAAGGTGCCAAGTCAAATTTTTTTCGAAATTGAGTTTTTTATGGGAAAGTAATCCCTAGGAGTACACCGAAGAGGATATTTCGAAATTATTGCAACTTGAGATAGAAATTTTCTCAGATGACGATGGCTGTCAGCCGTTGAATTACGAAAAAATGCTTACTTATCATCAACATCATCATTTTGAGACAAAATTTCAGCGATTTAATGAAAAACAAAAAATTAAATGAGTTGAACGTTTTCGTTAACTTCTTTTTAAAGAAATGACTAAACATATCTTTATCCAAGCTTATCTATTTGGTTTGTTGTTTTATTCAAGTTTTTTCCTCTCTGAGGAATAAAGATTCTCAACGCAAAAGCTTCATTTTTACCACTTTTAGACCCAATTCCAGCGCCTCAATTTCGTTTATTTAAAAAATGCGCCAAATCTGAAAATTTAAAATCCAATTTCTATATTGAAAATAAAGCGGGCGTCCTTTTGCGCCAACAAGGTCTCCTGGTGGTAGAACTGCAACACCAAGAATCTTTTCATTGTGTTAGCTTTTTCACCTTCTGTGTAGTTTTTCTTGTCCCCTGAAAAAGTTTGTTGTTAAGAGTTGGCACCTTTTTGAAATAAACGCTTCATTTAAGGGTTTGTGCGATAAATCAGTAGCCTTCTGTAACTTATCGCAGAAAGAGCGATCGTGCTGGAAGATTCCCAATTTTGTCAGGCGCTTAACCCCAAACTAGCGTAATAATTCTAACAGCTTCTCGGAGTATCGACAAGATTACGGTAATGGGCCAATAGATAAGGTATGAATTAAAGCACCACATTACATCTCTCCTACTCAAAATTTTACTCTGAAAACGAACCTTTCAACCATGAATTTGGATTTCAGCTATCTCGTAAAGATTTTTTCGTATCGATGGCCAAAGTGCGAAACCACGTTTCTCCATTTGCAACTTAGCAGACTTAACACAAGACAATACTTTATATTACCTTCGGAAAAGTAGTCAACGCAAAGTCTTGAAAAATTCCTTGATTCTTTCTCTCGGCTGGCAGAATTTTCGGTGTGAATATCAAGCATTTAGAAAAAATATTGAGATTTTCAGTAAAAAACCCTTAACAGATTTCAAGTAAAAATAATGACAATTTTGCGACTTTGGAAGCTAGTCGCGTTCTTTCGTTTTCGAAATGCGAAATTAGGTCTAATTTAGCAAAGTTCAACCCTGGTAAAAATTGGCAGTAGAATCTGTGTTCCAAAATACCATAGACCCAAAGCCGGTTGTAAGATTTCCAATAGCTTCTGTAGCCGGCTGTACAATTTCTTATAGCCTTTTATAGCCGATGGCGAATAAGCAACAGCCAGACGATAAAGTTAATACTAAACGTTACTAAATAAGGATACCAGGACTTAGTTAGTTTTTGGACTACCGCTCTCTTTTTCTGCCGTAGTATCTTGATTTACTTTGCGAGGCAAGCTCCGTACTTTCGAAGGATGCCTGTCATTCTTTAATATGTTGGAGCGCTTTCAATTTCTTATGCTACTGTGCAATATATCTGGTGTGTAATAGTTGCTTCAGACGCCGTGGTACGCTGCGGCGCGGAGGGCGGGCAGAGAGTTGGAAACGCGCATTGGCGCCTACAAACCTAACAGGGATACTTCACGCATTGCGCAATGCGTGAGGTATCCCTGTTAGGTTTGTAGGCGCTAGTGCGTTGCCGCTCCGCTTTGTGTTTAGGGCTCTAATATTTAATCTCGCGGAGTCAGCGTTTTTCAACTCATGATTTTGAAATGTTTGCACACTCTGTATGGACTATTCTCATTTTAATTGTTGAAAAAAAAAAAAAAAAAAAAAATTAATGGAAAATGTAATATGTGTTTTGTAAATATTTAGGTAGTTCCGTATCAAACTTAATGATTTCCAAAGCACACGAATTTGTACACAATTTCTTATAGCCTTTTATAGCCAATGGCGATAAAGTGTAAAGCCCGGCGATAGGAACTATAGCCCGACTGTATACTTTTTTATAGCTTCGTATAGCCCGTCTATATGATTCGCTCCGCTTTCTATAGCCAGCCATACGATTTTCAATAGCCTTCTTTAGTCGGCTTTAAGAACCCCTATGGTATCTTGAAACGCAGCTCCAATCGCCAATTTTTACCAGGGAATTGCAGTTACGTTCTTCCATCTATAAAACAACGGATTGTTCAGCCAAACACAAACTGCCGCATATTTCCCGAGGAGAAAAAAGCCTCACCCGATGACAGGCATTCGATAGACAAAGACTAATCACGAGCCGCGGCATAATGTAGGTTTGCGCGGTTTTTCATCCGAAACAGAGCAGAAGTAGTGCTCTCCAGGTCGTCATGGCAACCGTGGGTGTGCATTCGGCAGCGACTCCTCTCCTCTCGAGTCGATATCGAAAATAAAGGAAGGAGTGTGACCTGATTATGTACGCGCTAATTAGATTTAGGTCAATTTCTCATACAGCCGTGCATTATAAATAAAACCCTCCCCGCTAAAAACCAACATGTCCAACCCGTCATGAGCCTTGAAACGTGAGCATCCTTACGGATTTCGGGGCTCATCTGAAAATCGATACGCTGCGTTTTTACATTCGAATAGCGCCGCTTGCCTTTCATCTGGCGTGAGAGCTCGGTCTCGGTCTCGGACTTTTCCGAATCTTACGCCTCCCGCCGGCCACCCCCGCGCGGCAAAAACCGCGGAATTACGTAAGGCGCACAATGGAATTACGCGGTTTTTGCACGGAAAGGAAGCGGTCCCTTCTGCCCGCAAACTCAAAGGGCCCTTTCACCGCGTTTGCCTTAATTCAGCACTTTACCCTTTGACATGCGAGACCGCGCCGTGCTCGCAAGTCCCTCCGGCTACGTTGCCGAGTTTCCAAAGAAAAAGCTGTGTTTTTTGCATTGTTTATCGAGTTTCCACTTTAGAGGTGCCGTGTCAACGAAGAAAGCTCCCGAGCTTTTGTGGTGTACTGCCGTGCGAAGGAGAAATGCCGTATGAACAGTCAACCGTTGCTAGATTTTCTGATTAAATACCTAATTTTCGGGGAAATTATGAATATTTTACGATGAACACTGGAAAACACATTGTATCTAGAGTCCAGACTCTTGAAAACATTGAAAAAAAAAGGAATCTTGATTCAATCAGATTTAAGCTTAAATCAAAAGGAAATCCGCTCAAATTAAGAGGCTCGGTTCTTGATTTAAGCTTGAATCTGATTAAATCAAGAGTATTTTTTCTTGTCGATGTTTTTAAGAGTCTGGACTCTAGATCCAATGTGTTTTTTTTTTCCAGTGAAATTGCCAGGTGTACTAGAATGAATTGTGAAGAATGTTCTCTAAATAATTCAAACGAAAATATTCGCAAGTCCTCAGAAAATTTGTATTTTATCAGACGCAATATGACAATGTTCAACGGCTTATACGGCGTTTTAACTTAGCACGGTTGTAACGCTGACCCTATGACCGGGAGACCGCGGGCTCTATTCCCGGTCAGGCGGCTTGAGGTCTAAGGTCTCAAATAAAGATGGCCTGTGAGAAATGGTGTAAAATATAGGGGTGAAGTCGATTAGTCTCTCATGTATATTTGAAAATTGTTGACAAATTGAAGAAGGTGGGTGTATTAGTGAGCATTTGAGAAAATGGATCACCTAGCGTCAGAGGGGGAATTTTATTAAACGAAACCGTGTTTCTGTGTAAAAGTGTCGATAATAATAAAAAAGACTCGTTGAAATTGTTTTGCATGATTACAAATTGACAAATTTCATCTTCGGCCATATGATTAAGACCTTTTTTACTTTCAAGCCAGACGTGACAGCAGCACGCGTTATGTCTCGCAGGCTTGCGTGGTTACATTTTGGACGCACAAAAGATAAAGTGAACCGAGAAAAGGGGAGATATTTTACTCAAGTCATTAGTAAGTGCGGTTCTCTTGCGGAAGAATGCGGACTTACTGCTGTTTCAATGTAATGGCGTCAATTTTTACGCTCACGTATTGCTTTCTCAAAACTTTCGTTAGGTGCTTCATAAAAAAAAGGCATTATGCTGTTTTGACTTAATCAGCTAATCATTTAACTTTGATTATAGAATTTGAAAGGAAGTCCATTTTAAAAATTCCGGCATATATACGTGCCTTAGGAATAAGGCAATTAAAGCTTAGTGGGGGAGCATTTAAGTGTTGCCGCTCCCTCCGTAAGCTATTCCTCTTTTGAGGTTTTCAAAAACTGTAATTGAAAACTTTGGATACCATAAATTAAATTATGAATGAATGTCCCTGAGAAATATCAATTCCTGGAAGCTTTTCGGAAAATGTGGATTTTATGTGAATACCAGGCAACTCCAAAATGTTTATATTGCATTAATCCTTCGCTCGGGTGAGTACCTTCCCTTCCTCGGTGACTACAGAATACATACACAGTACAGTGTATATATGCAAACTATCGTGTAATTTGTGTTCTCACCTGAAGAAAATCCCTTTCACGGACCAACACGTTGTGACTGTTCCGATGTCCCTCCTATCTTATTCTCTTCACGTGATATTTTTTCCTTTTTACGTTATATTTTTTCCTTTCCCTTCCTCCCGTTATTTTTCATATCAGTAGCTGGACTTTGGCTTTTAAGTAACATTCCCTCGGTTGAGCAATGATCATTAAATATATAAATAGAAGTTTCTCGAATGGAAAAATAATTAAACTTTTTTTATTTTTTGTTTATTTTGTCCTAATTTTCAAATTGGACATTCCCCCATAGAATGGCGAATTCTTTGCAACAGCGAGTCCAACTCTGTCAAATTTATTTGGCACTGGATGGAAATTTTCCCCTCTGGTAGAGCCTCAGGCTCATTTTTGAGCATCTTCAAAGCTTCTTCCAAGTAATACCGAGATTCCTGAAAAAATGAATAAAAACAAAGTTAATCAACTGCATAAAATACACTCCAACACGTTATTATTCATTGTACATTCAGACGTCTTTAATTAAACAATTGATCACTATAATATCCATTCTTTTCGAAAAATGAATCAATGATGACATAATGGGAAACAAATATTCAGGGGTCATCCCTTAAAGTTGTGGCGCTATCCCAATTTTTGGATGATGTGGACATTTCCAATTGATAGTGATAGAACCGCAACTCAAGTTAGGGTAGCACCGCAGCATTTGGGATAGTAACCTAATTTATTGGGATACTACCACAATTAATTAGGATAATACCACAGTTAGTTGGAGATGTCCGTATCATCCAACATCCTCATGCTCTATTTTTTCGTAATAAATGAATGGAAGAAACGGATTTTTCAATGAAAATGTCTTATAAACACATGACTACGATGTACAAATATACATTTGGTTCATGCAAAAAAGAAATAATTGGTCCTTTTATATACATTAAAATTAAAAATGAGATGTGATCCAAAGTGAAAGTGTGAAGCCAAAGTGTGAAGGTTATGAAAGTTTTTCCAGTGTGAGGCCATTCCGAAAATCTGCAGAGCGTAAGTAACCATACAAAGAACGGAAAGTCTCACTCATAATGATTACAATACACCCATTCAAAGTCTCTCGCTCTTGATTTGATTGACTGAGTGCTTTTAATTGGCAACTACATCAGGAGGTTGTCATGGCAACCGATGACGGAATCATAGACGTAATCATGCGAGATAAACCTTAAGACCGCGATCCTCGTAAAACGAAGATGCTTTTAAGTTGCCATCATTTCAGGGGGCGATACATTAATCTGGACCCCTCGTCCTTTTAAAGCCTGGTGATTTCAAGCGTTCATGACGTCACTCGTTTTCTCTTCACCCTATCGTTGACGTAACTGAATAATCAACGATTGTATCATCGATTATCACATCCGTTAGCCACCAATGACTTAATCTACATAACATGAAATACGGCAACCTCGAAAATCACGCCGAGCGTGTTTTGGTTTTCGATCGGATTGGCTTGTGACAAGCCGATTGACGGTTGCGTATTTTATTTTAAGCTGATTCGGTCGTTTCGGGGCTCATCGCCACCCTGCCGGATTCCGGATGAGGATGAGATCACCGTAAACATTGGCATTTGCCCGTATCTTGGGTAAAAGAGGTGGATTTTATATTTTCATGTGACGCAATTTTGTCTCCAAATCCAACCGATCATGGATCTCCGATTTGAGGTGACGCATATGCGATGAAAAAGTTACTAGTCGTATTTAATGCGTAAGGAGGTTCTTTGTGACGCGGGAATTTATAGATGCGGTACACGGCACGACTGTCGCTTTTGAAAGATCTGACACATAATACAATTTTACAAATTGTCCTCTCAACACCAAATCTGTGAGACGAGGAAAAGTAACTACAATTTGTGATGAGCTGCTAAGATACATCATGGTACACGTTCGATCTGTTGCTCATCGATACATATCTACTTAAACTATACGTTAGTTTTTTGCATTTTATTGTAGATTTGAGTTCCTTTTGTTATTTAGTTAAATTATTCCTGCTTCTTAATTTTTAATTATTCTGCAACAATTATTTTTTTGCGAAATAAAATCCTGGCTTTAGCGCTCTTAAACTATGGCCTTAACAGTCGACACTGCAGTAGCGGCACAGGAAAGCCAAAAAACTAAGCGGGAACGCTGCTTCAATATTAAACTTCTATCGCCTTGCTAAGGCGCAGGGATACAACTATTTGAACTCTTCTTAACGTGTAAGGTATCACGCTTCAATTGAAGGCGTTTACGAATCTTCTGTATTTACATGACGAGACTTTCCAAATTTGTTTGCATTATATTGTCGATTTGAGTTCCTTTTATTATTTAGTTAAAATATTCCTGCTCCTTAATTTTTAATTATTCTGCAAAACCTATCCATTTGCGAAATACAACCCTGGCTTTAGCGCCCTTAATTGACGAAGCTTACATAGTAGTTAGAAAATATATATCGGCATTTTTCTTAAGAGATTTTTTGTTAACCGCAAACGAATTTGTTCCTCTTTTATAAAAAGAAAGTATCACAAAAATAATTTAAGATATCAAAAATCTTTAAAAAAAATATTACGTTATTTGTTTTCAGACAGAAAAAACCCAAAAGCAAAGTTTATACTTTTCCGGGTTTAATGATTGACTCGCAATACTCTTTCCTTCTAATTTTTAGGTTTCAATTTTCTTGATTTCGTAAAAAAATCTCGCATAAATTTTCTTTTCACGGGAGTTGCTACTTAAGTTCTATCGTCTATGAAACTAAATACTTTTCAGAGGTCTCATAAAAATGAAGAAACACATTTATTCTTATAAATTGGAATTTAATTTTACCATAAGCCTGCTAATGAGCGCTGCTTGGTCTAGAAGTCCCGCATCAGCATCGCGGCGGCACCTCTCGGCCACCGCAGCATGAAGTTCAAAAAGCAAAGCACCTTGAACGCGCCATTCCGCTGTAAAAAATAAATAAACAAGTAATAAAAGATGAAATAGTCTTGCATGAAGCCAACACATCAACTTATAACCTTAAAACCAGTAGTCATTAATGCACGGAGATAAAAGAATCGATAGGTACTCTTAAAATACTCATAGTGTATTCCAGATCCTACCCAGTTTAGTGGTGATAATTATTTTGATCCCGGCAACAATACTGCTTTTTTATCAACACAGAAAAAAATATCATCACTGAAGTGACATTGTTGTTACCACTAGAATAGAAGGCAGGACTTAAAAGCCAGTATGAGCATCAAAAGAGCAACTATTCTTTTATCTTCGTGTGAAAACTGCAAAACGGCAATCATTTGCGGAAATGTCAAAATCGAAAATTTTGTGCGGAAAGGTCAAGGCATCCATAAACTTTCCGAATAAGAAATGTTAATTACCGATCATGCGGAAGTTCATTAAATGATTTGGGATAGCGCAGCACCGGCGTTTATCGTGGGTTTGATTGCTGCAAACGAGGGATTGTAAGGGAAATTGGAGCGCCTTCATTTTTTGAACATGCAATATAGATATCCGTCGAGGAGCAATAGTTGCTCCATACAGGCGTCATCATTCATCTCGCGCATCCTAAAAGAATCCTCAGTATCTGTCGGCGTTTTGCCCCACCTCACCGCAATTTTTATATATTAAAATGTAGTTTTGGATATTCTCTATCGGAAGGAAACTTGATCTAATCATCTATTATTGGCTCATAATTCCTAGGATACATACGAAGATTTTTCGTGGAAAACTCAACTTTTTACCGCTAACTTATCAAAAGGCGCTCTCTTAAAAGAATTTTCTTCCGTGCACCGTGGCCTCTTTTCTCAGAAATGGAAACAGCACGTATTTCACTTTCATAATCCAGACACTTTATTTGATGCTGCAGCTTGATAAGAAGAGGAATCCAGACTAACCTACGAAGAGCTGTCTCGCCAATTTCAAAACTTGTTTACAAAGTTCCGTTTTATGCTCCAGATCTGCATCAGGTATCTCTTGAATTCCTTTCTCTGTTTTTTGACCGTACAGTTGAGCCAAGGATAAGCGCACTTCCGTCAGAATAAAGTGATTGGGGTGCAGCAAATTAGACTTCCCGTAATGATCCAAGAAGAGCTTGCAGGACTTTTCATCGTTCCTGTCCATGGCGTCTAAGTCCGTCATTATTCTTTGCACTACACTCTGGGCGTTTGCAGTGGTTCGCGTTGAGTTGCATTTTTTGCAAATCCAATTTAAGGTTTCAGGATTCAGGTCATCCTTTTCTGTGTCCAAAAGTACATACCAATCACATTCTCTGAAAATTAAAAAAAAAAAATAGGATACTAATACTATTAATAAAACCCCTCAGTTTATCAAGATTGATCTATCGTTTTGACGTCAGTCTACATTAATTAACGGTATCTAAAACACTTGAGAAAATTTATTTAAATCTTTCCACGCGATTATCCTTGGGGGAAAGGAATCCTAGTTTCTGAAGGCTTTGCTATTTCATTACTACTGCGTTTCATTTACAACTCTTCGCGTTTTTTGCGACAGTTTGTTCGTAAAACATTAATTGAAGAAGTGGTAACAACTTTTCATAACTTGGAGTTTTGCTCATGACGAAGACCTACAGACAGACCATCCTTGCATAGCTACGTCCTCGACAGGGTGGCATGAAACGAAAGAAAGGAAAAAAAATTGAAATTTCAGTGAAATATTTCACGAAATTTCACGAAGCTATGAAATGTTTCATATTTTTCAGGGGCTACATTATGCAACCCGCAATAAAACACACAAAAATAGAGGAAAGTCATAATTTTTACATCTTGCAAAACATGAAAAGGAACAGATATTTTTCAATATCTTTCATAAATTTCTGAAACATGAAATGTTTCACGTGAAATTTCAAGATTATATTTTTCATGAAATTTTGTCACGCTGGTCCTCAATAGGCGGACAAAGTGCGAAACATCGTATCTCCATTGCGATGTTTCAAAATTTCCGCTACTGTTTTATTTTTAAAAAGAAAAACAGGCTAACTTTATAGCTTGAAATACAGAATATTCTGCTAACAGCGAAGTACGAATAAAACGAAGGAAGTTTTCAATAAATTAAGTTCCCTAATTTTCCACGGAAAAGATAAAGCATGGTAGGAAGTTTGCAACGTCGCAAAATTAGTTACGTCCTTTTGCACTCTGGCCATCGATATCATATTCCCTCTAAGTCTATCTTACTTTCTTCTCAATAATTTTGAAACCATTCATCATGTGCGGAGGAGTATACTGCCGTGACAAGGAAAAATGCCGTTCGAGCGTTCCCGGCTTTCCAAATTTCCTCCGATATAATTTTTATTTTCGAGTTAAGTTATGAATATTTTTCCTTGAAATTTTCAGGAACTTTAGATGGAATTTCGAACAAAAGTATCTGAAAAATTTGAAGACAAACGTTCATAAGTTTATCAGGAAATTTGCGTTTTATTAAAGGAAATTTGGCAACGCCCGAAAGGTCATACTGCGTTTTTCCATAGCACGGTAGTAAAAACCTAGCTATTAGGAATGCATCCTCTTTCAACACCGATTCATTCCGCGTAATTCATTCTAATGTATCCACCGATATAAAATTTCTCACTTTAAAATATCTCGAGTTTCACTACGTACTTATTGGGGCAGGAGACGGCGCTATAATACGTTCCCAACTCGGTTGGGTCGATGCATCTAGGGCACTTGCACAGGAAGAACTTGGTCTCAAGCAAATGGTGCCGTCGATTCAGGGTTCCCCAGAGAGGGTCCGTGTAGCAGATCGAAAGATGGTCGCCGGCTTTGATTTTCTTCACGGTTTGAATCACCAAGGAGTTGTCATCGGTGAATCTTTTGCCGCAGTTCGGATGACAGCTATGCTCGAAGAGGGAGGCGCGCTCGTATACCGCAACGCTGGCAGGCTGGGTCAGCGGGTTTTCGTGTCCGTTTATCTTGAAAAAGAGGCAATGTGAGAGCTAAAGTCTGGTGGGTTGGTGCACAGAAAAAAAAGACGCTGACTTAACTATTCTGGATGTAATAAAGTGTGCGACAATTCACATTAACCGCCACAGCTGTTTACTATGGCAAAGTCAAGATGTAAAGCCTGCATCCAGAATGTTGAGTCAACATCCTTTTTTTTCGGTGTAAATACGTTGATTTAAGGGAGCCTTAACTAAGTACAGTTATTAAAACCCCATACCAATGAAGAAACAGAAGGTGAGGAATTGAAATAAAAATCATTTATCTTCTGCTATAACCGAAAATGTGTGAATTAGATAGTACAGACACTGTAAAAAAAAAAAAAAAAAAAAAAAAAAAAAAAAAAAAAAAACTATTGAGAGCAATTATGAGCCGCTATATACTGGAACGCTGCAAAAGTCAATCCTTGAACGGTGCACTTCTAGCCTCCTGCTCGTTGAAAGTGTGAAGCGAACTGCATTTTTTAATAACACGGCGACTTACGGGGGAATCGCGGGATGCGAGTGGTTTTCGGGTTTTTTTATTTTTTATCGATATTTATTTTTGTAAATTTTTGAAAATTACGTTTCCTTTAGTTGTAACGAATCAAAAAATCTACAAAACTCGTTTTTTTTAAAAAGAACAAAATAAATTTTATACATAAATATTCTGAGGGAAGCTCGGAGCTAGAATTTCTCGCATTTGGCATCGCTAGTCGCCGTACACAAGTCTCAGCACTGTAGGACAAAACAGCCTAAAAAAGTGACTACATCGGCACTCCAGTACATGGCAACTCTAGTGTACTCAATAGAAACACCCTGCCAGGGCCGGATTAAAAGGGTGGCCACATGGGCCGCGGCCTATGGCGGCAAAATTTAGAGGGCGGCAAATTTTGCAATCTTTTTGAATGTGGGTATCAAAAACTGAAAGAAAACAATCGGATTCAGAAAATAAATTACAAACGAGAAAAGGCGACAAAATCTCTCATTTCCTGAGAGTAAAAGTATAGTAATTTCTTCTTTTGTCGTCTTTCGGTGATACAAGAGGCAACACCTTTAATTAGTCGAGTTAAGAGAGAAACCAAACACGCAATTTTGACTTGGAACGGAGCGGCGCGGCGCGGCGGTCGGCATGAAACACATAGCGTCTACAAGACTGCATGAATACGCCACGCATTGCATCAAACACACTGCGGTCAGCAGCAGTCGGCTTGAAACGCATAGCGCCTACAAGACTACATGAATACTTCACGCATTGCGCCGAACAGTGTGGTCAGCAGCGGTCGGCGTGAACGCATAGCGCCTACAAGACTGCATGGATACCTCAAACATTGCGCCAACACTGCGCGGTCGGCGCGGCGGTGGAAGTTAAAAGTTTTAAGCACATTTATGTTTGCTCTTTCATAATTTTTTCGTTCTTTTTTATAAATGGAAAGCCTTGTCCAAACAGGGATGGGTTTACGGACCTGAACTTTTGTTACTGTTGACAGGGCTTCTACAAAAAATGTGCCTAACACGAGTAAACGCGTCTTATACACCCCTCCCCCACCGGCACGTTCACTTGATGGTTTTTACAAATCGTATTCGACAGATCACATAGGTGACATTATATTGATATCGATTGGTTCAATATGTAACCACAGCCTCAGAAGTCAATTTAGAAATCTGAGGTAACGGGTCTTATGTGATCGAATTTGTATTCTCTCGAGTACCAAATGGCAATGAAAAGTGAAATTGTTAGGAATTTTCTCATTTACAGCTTTTCCAAATTAAATCCTAAAATTTTTGTTCGAGGTTATGTTCTATTGTTTTGGACCAAACGATACATCGAACCACTGTCGAATACGATCTATTGATGTTTCGAAACAAATGAAAAGGGGGCGGAAAAATACTGGCGGCCCATGGGTGGCATGTAGGTAAATCCGGCTCTGCACCCTGCTACGGTTCATATGACAATTTCCTTTTTCCTTAGTGCGAGCCATATAATAAGACGAACTCAATAGTAGAAAATAGTAACAGTGCCTCATAGCTCAGCACAATGAGAAAATATAATCAAAGAAGCCTTAAATTGTGTGAAATAAATAATAAAATCAATGAAGAAGGTTACCTGAAGCACGCCGCAAATTTTCAAAATTTCTTCTTCACTGTACTCCTGTTCCACTTTGAAAAATCTATGAAGAAATCCTGCAATTGTTCTCCTGTCCAAGTCATATCTAGGTGTCACTTTTCTGAGATCACAGTGCGACTCCAAGGCTGTCAATTTCTTCCATGTTTTTGGATCTGATCGCCGTTTCTCTAAACACCGTAGAGCAGTAATGCACTCATAACTAGGGTGTGAAGATCCAAAATTACTTATTTTTACCTGAAAAAACATGCAATATTATTTAAGACGGCTCCTATGAATAACTTCATGCCATGGACTAATTACCCCACATTAAAAGGGGCATAACGAGTATTCACAAGTACTTTTGATGTTTCCATCGATATTCATGTGTAACCTCAGACGACCCAAAAAACTTCGGGCGAAAGTGTGATAATGAATATCGTCATTTTTACTCTCTGGTCCAACCCGAAGCTAGGTTAATTATTTATGAAAGTGTAAGCATTGGACTTCTCAAAATAACAAATTCATTTGCTCCGCACTTCATAACTCTCGGCTGCACCACCGTGTATTAAATAAACTCTAATTATTTATCTAAAGCCAGGGGGACTTATTAGGTGACAAATTGAACCTGGAGCTACGCCAATGTAATAGGGTTCAATGGAGCACGTACTTTCTAAGACGCGTTCTCTGAGTTATTTAGGAACCTCGATTAAAAACATCATCAATTTTCATTTCTCTTCCCAACGAAAAGTTTTTTTTCTGCAGAAGGACTCGAAATCTTTCAGAAGCTTTGCAACTGCTTTTTCCCCCTTAAAATTACTAACTTTGTGAGACGTGCATTCTTAAAAGGGAATTTTTTGTTTACATGACACTGGTCGTTCACTTTACTTTTTCGCTTAATCGGATTAAAAAATAAACTCTCAAATCGGTAATTTTTTCTAGAAGGGGGCACGCCCCCTGACCGCTCTAAGGTCCTCCTCCCCCCTAAGCGCATCGCGCCTCAGGCGTTGGCGTTTCACATTCCTCGTATGCCTATCAGTGGCGTGGCGAGAATTGCGATATATCGATTGTTATGCCATTTAAACCTATGGTAAAGAATCGATTATTAAGGTGTTCGCTGCGAACACCCTGTTTTTCGATACTTTTCCATAGGTTTAAATGTCATAAAAATCGATGTATCGCAATTCATGCCACGCCTTTGATGCCTATATGTGATGCGGTTCATTGACACTATCCATGTATTCGTCTCAAATAACTCACGGCTATCGATTTGCCTATTCTTAACCCCACGAATCACTTTAATTTTACCAATTAAGGCAATTAATTCAGTTAACCTTCTGTCCTCGCTTGTTGATGGTCCAGTCGCACTCGGCTCTATGGTGCTTGGACGCCGCGCACTTCTGTGAGCAAACCGGCCAACCACATCGCTCGCACTCCTCGATTTGTCCCTTCTGCAGGGCGTTCAAGCATCCAAGACACACGGGTTCGGTCGCCTGTGCAGGGCCCATCACCAGTGGCATTTCCTCCAGCACCACCTCTCCGACCTCCATGTCACGAGTGGCCACCACGTGCCGTCCAAGATCCTTATCCTCCAGGATCTGAGAGACAGTAAAATATCATTAAGCAATGAGGAAATACTATTTCTGGCTTATTTTAGAAACAACGCAAGTGTCATTAGATTCGTCATGCCAAAAGGTGTTTTATCGATGACTCGGATATAGTAGTTATTTATTGCAAATACGGTCTATTTATTACACACGGAAAAAGTCTGGTGCTTTAAAGTACCCTCCATCACAAGGATTCATACAGAAACAAGAAACCCTCCACTAGCCTCTTTTTTTCAAAGGAGGGGTAAAGAAAGGAGGGGAATGATTGGCCTTGATATGCGATTAAATGACAATTTTGTTGGATTCGATGAAGTCCTCGAGGACTCTGTAAACTTCCTTATTTATCTGTCAAAGGACCTGGACAGAGTTTTTTGGCGATAGGTGGAAGCTTTTACTTTCGGGGATTCACCACTTTCTTATGGACTTTTATAACAAAGCAACAGTTATCTTGCTACATAATTAAAAGCCCCCGTGAATGACAAAACATGTGCACTGGTGTGACATTTATCAAAAAATTGAGATTGTGAAGATATATTTTTAACCATGCTTGTTTCAAAAACTAAGCTTTACGAGAACAGTCTAATTTTTAAGCTTTGATTAATTTTGAGTTTTGCGACGGACATTTAGAAAATATGTGCACAATAATGGTGTCATTTTAAATCATACTTTTCATCCTCTTCAAATTTCAAAAATATTGAATACTTCTAAATACTTCTTTCGTGCACCAAACGCGTTGGTTATTTACTCTACGATAGATACTTAGCTCTGTAGTTACCTGGTATGGTAGCTTTGCAGAAACGTGGCCGTTGATTTCAGAATCCTGTGACATATTGATTTTTTTGAGTCTTTCCGTATCAATATAGAAATCGTTCCCTGTAATTCGGTGGTGGAATAGCTTCTACGTTTTTGAATCTAGAAAAAAAGCAGACATGTTTAATAATTTGCATTTAATTCATCACTTCAATGGATATAATAAATATCGACGGTGAAAGTCGGCAATCACATAACTCGGTTTGCGACGTCGCAGACCTCCTGTCATACTTTATTTTTTAAATGGAAAACTACTCGACGGCAATTCTTTAAAACTGTCATGATTTTTCTTCTCAATGCGAAGAAAATTCTGCAAAAACTTCAAGAAATAATATCAATTTGTTCTCCTTTAAAAAAATGACGTAGAGGCGGAGATTTTCAGACACCGCAAACGAGATATGTGATTGCCGACTTTCACCGTCGATATGCTTCTGCTCCAAGAGAACACTTTTACATAGAATTGCATATCTATGCTGATAAAAAGTTTATTTGGAAAAGGTTTGTGACAATGAAAGCAACACAATATTCTTTTGGTTTTAGAGAACTGGAGAAACGCATCTCGCGTGCTGTTATGATAAAAATGAAAAAGATGAAAAAGTATACCGAAACACGCATATTGTTGAATAAGGCCCGAAAATGCCCGAAATGCATCCAAGCCAATAAACCTTATTCAACAATATGCGTGTTTCGGAATACTATTCCATCTTTTTCATTTTTAGAGAACGCTAACCAATTGCCCAAAACTTTTTCATTTTTCTTCTGAACTCGTGTGAAAACATGCGCTGTGGAGGTTTCGAGATGCTCCCTATGCCGTTCAGGCTTTAGGCAATCTACAACTAAAGTACCATTCATGTTTTTGAAAGCCTTGCATTCTTGTTTCACTTCACTGCTTTAATTACAATCGTGTCTGAAGGAGGGCAGACCAATCACTAATATCTTCTTACGTGCACAATATCAGGGAATAATTTTCTTATTAACAGACAATCAAAAGAATATTCAGAGACAAAACCACTTCATAAAACATGTCAAAAAAAAGGAAAGAAAAATTCCCAGACAAATGATGGTCCCTCAGACTTTACGCCCTAAGAGCGGACGGCCTCTGAGCCTCCTTCTTACACCACACCTTTGATTTCCTAATCGATGTGTTGTTAAGACATCAAATTTTTGAAAAAATACTAATATTTTCGCAATCTTCACGAAAACCTAACTGAAGAGGAAATAATCAACCGTTGTAATCTGTACACAACGTAAAATGGAACCGAATTTTTGTCTAACTTAAAGCAATTATATTACACTGCAGAGAGAATATTTACAAATTATGATAATACACAAAAACTTTAATCACAGGAGAGTGTAAAACAGATTTAATAAATGACAAAACGGAATGTAAAGAGTACCTGGAAAAATTGATCCCTTTTGAAAAAAACTAACAAGTAAGAAAACAGTAGACCCAAAACAGCTCTCTGTATCATGGACTGCCAATATATAAGTATCGGCTGAAAATTCTAGAACTTGTGATCACGAAAAAAACACCTAACTGGCAACCATGTAAAGTCAGCTTAACATGACACTATAGCATACGCATGCCTGACGGAAAAACTGACTAGAAAGTGTTCCCGTGAGTAGAAAGTTCAGCACACGGAACACCAAAAAGCTCGCTCGATAGAGCAGGGGAGAGGGAGATAAAAAGCAACGTAGCTAAAAGAATAAAACACAACATGTAATATCCCACTGGAGAGGCTTAAAAGCGGCACAATTACGGCAGAGACGTGCTAAAAAGAACGAGAGAATCCCGTCCAACGGGGAAGACAGTGAATGGAACAGGGGCGAAGCGTGAATTGCGATGTATCGATTGTTCTGCCATTTAAACCTACGGCAAATAATCGATTATTAAGGTGTTCGTTGCGAGCGCCTTGCTTATCGATCCTTTTCCATAAGTTCAAATGGTAGATTAATCGATATATCGCAAAGCACGCCACGCCGCTGAATGGAGGGCGTAGCCGAGGAGTTAGGAGTTGAGACGGACTTATTTTTAATTCGAAACAGAGCATCAGCCGGTGTCGGAAATAAACGGAGTGAGCCCAGGCCGCGCCGATGCTAAGAGACCGGCCGTTGAAATTAGGACTATTGTGATCCGCCGTGCTCTGCCAAAGTTGAGTTCAAAAGTCAAAGCCCCCTGCGACGCGACGTGCGGAGAAAATGAAGAGAAATGCGACCTTTTCTAGGTTTGGACCTTTTTCTAGAATACCTTCGCGAGGACTAAAAATCGAGAGGGAAACGAGCAATCATGGTGAAAGTAAATTGGACGTATTTCTATCAAACGGAACTGTGTGCATTAAGACATGAGCCCTGAGACCCATAAGAATATGTGCATAACAGGGCTCACGTCATAATGCACATAGCTCCGTTTGATAGAAATACGTCCAATTGGTGGGTATGTCGCAGGCAAATAGTGAAATCAGGCATTTTGTCAAACGCCTGGGCAGATAGTCAAATTTTAACGATCTATAAAATGTTGTGAATTTATGGCGAAGAGCTCACGATCTTTCAAAATTTTTGGAAAAATAACTCATGAAACCTACGAACTCTTCTTGTCTCTTCCTCTTCAATTTATTGCTTCTCATATTTTTAAATGTTGAAATTCCAAAAATTCTGTACTTTACGACATGCTGAAAATTTCGAAATCTTTGTCTCTTCAGGAGCTAAAAATTGTTTAAAATACTATTGTGTGTGCAAATTTTTACTGAGAATTTTTTCTTGCAGGAGCAATGCATTATTTTGTCTGAAATTAGGAAAAGAATCAGAATTTCAATGTAAGTTAGAATAGTTGACTATTTGCTTAGGCATTTGACAAAATGCCTGATTTTACCATTTGCCTGCGACAGGTACATCTCCAAAATTGAAGATTTTAATTCTTGAGGCATGACTAAAAGTCTTAGTTTAATTATCTCAGTTGTTGGCAGGTTGCGAAAATCACTGAAAATATAAACTGAAGAAAAAGTGAAGTTGGTTTAACATCCTGGATGTAAAAGAAGTGCGAGAACTCACAAAATTCTGAATTACCCACTACAGCGGGTCGATTGTTGAATCGTTATCGAATGCTTCTGATCGATAAATCCCTATCTTAACAATGCTATATATCGATCAAGGTCATTCGATAACGATTCAACAATCGAGGAGCTGCAGTTTCTTTTACACCTCGGCATTGCTAAAGTAACTGTTGTAGCGGTTAATCCAGTATTTTGTATGTTCTGGCACACTTTGTTTTTGCATCCAGAATGTTCAATCAACTTCACTTTTTTTCGGATAGTCTAAAAACATCTGGTATGATGGTATTGTGAAACAAGCAGTGAACTCCAACACAATGTGTCGATAAGGCGCGTCATTAACTCGCACATATCAACCCCTTTAGTTTTCATTTACAGAGATTTCAAAATAGGCAAACAGCATAAAAAGAGAATTCACGATCCAACACTGCGAGGTCAAAGACGCACCTTGACGAGACCGTGTATTGTGAAAGTAGAAAGCTATTCGATCGAATTTAAGTTTTTTGATCTGCCTCAAGCAAAATCTTATCAGATTCTTGAAGAAAAGTGCTACGGAATAATTTAAGCGAAGAAAGGAAAAATTCTGTCGAACTCCTAGAAGATAAAGTCGATTTAAAGGTATTTTGGGGCTAAAATACCCAAATCACCGGTAGTAAAAATCCCGTTATATTATTGAAAAGAAATTGACTCGATATAAATGCAATTGCATTAAATACGTCTTGATTTTGTTATTTTAAACGTCTTTCCATGCAAAGAAGTTCAACCATGTCGTTGCTTTATTCATTCATGAATTGAAAGTAAGCAATCTACATCCCGAAAATCTACTGATTTGCCGTAAAAAATTGCAGAAACTTGATATACCAGGTCGATGCACCCACTCGTTGAATTTACCAACCAATTTTGTGAGTGCAAATGTGTAAGAATCAATATGCTA